AGGAAAAGATTAATGACTAAAAAAAAAAAAGAAAAAAAGAAAATAGAAGAAACAATAACAGCAACACTCCAAATCGACGAGTTTTCACCATTGTCTTTATCAGCCGCTTCGTCTACCCCCCCTTTACACACACCTCCTCATTACGTGTATCTCTCGCTCTCCTTCTCACTCTCTCTCTCTCTCTCTATCTCTATCTCTCTCTCGGCCTCCTGCGTATTATCCGGGGTAAAGGGGTCATTGCAGCGACGGACAGTGTGTGGTGAAGGTGTGTCTCGGGAACACACGGAGACACACACACACACACGTATACCTGACGAAGAGGAGACTCCTACAGGTGGTGGTGCTGGGAGGTGTTTGGTTCCTCGTAAGAGAGAGGAAAGAACTCGTGTTAGGATGCTGACGAAGGCGCTGCTGGGGGCTCTCCTCCTGCTGCTGGCGGGGCATGGCGGTGAGTATGGTGCTCTTTATGTGATTTATAAAAAAATTATGTGTTTATTTATTCATTTATTTATTCATTATTATACTATTATTATTATTATTATTATTATTATTATTATTATTATTATTATTATTATTATTATTATTATTATTATTATTATTATTAATTAATTATTTTTTTTTTTTTTTGGGGGGGGGTCGCTTTGTTTGTGAAATGTGCTTAGATTATGGAACGTATATGTATAAGTGTAGTTGGAAGTATATATTTTTCTTTATAGAACATTTTAAAGAAAGAATCTTCATGTTTCTAGATTCGCTTGAGGAGCAAATCAGGGTATATAACGTATAAATATAACAAGAACACACAGTGAAATGAAATATATACTTAACATATTTCAGTTTATTCCCAATCCACATGTTTTCTTTAAAAACAAATCAAAATAACAACTTACAAATCAAACCTAACATTCAATACAAAAATGTTAACAAAGAAAGAACATATTTATTAGAAGAGGACGTAAAGGCAGTAAGAGAAAGTGTTAAGATTACGAACACGGATCACTATTAAGTCGAAGTCAGAGACAATGCCGGTTTCGAATGTATTTAGTATTTTACCTTCCTCCTAAGTCAGTCTTCTTCTGGGGCATAAACTTCTAGCCAGGCATACTTACACTTGCATACTCAAACTTACAGCGTCGATGAAGCACTTACATACTTGATGAAATAAATACATTTTCATACCTGTATACTCATACCCGCAGCCGACAGAATATCACTTACAATATATATATATACGTATATGTATATATATATTTTTTTGTAAATAAATCAAACAGCATCTTTGTCTTTTCTCGTATAGCGTATTATGCATTCTAAACTGTTCATAAATGGATTGATATCCCGCACACTGGCTTATGTTATCTGGCCTGTATATGTTGTACTCTAGTCCACCGCAGTAATAAGTTTGGCACCCCTGGCCCATGAGTGTCAAGGGCGAGTCTGCTGTTTGGCCCTCTATGCTGCTGGATCCAAAACATGCTGCCTGCCTAAAGGGTATTCAGCATGAAGCAATGATTATCTAGCATGTTACCTTTTTTTTAAAGCATAGAGCCTGTTTATAATATTGTGTAAATTAGGTAATGGGGTGCGATGTAATCTACATTATACAAATCGTATTTAACTTCCTTTTATGTTGTATGTTTGGTTTCATTGGTTCTCGTTTAGTTGGTAATTGCCAGAAAGCATTATCAACACCCCCTCCCCCCGCAAAAAAATAAAGAATTATATATTTTTTTAAATGGAAATTGCGGTTGCTTTTAACTGGGTATTGACACTGTCAATCAGCGGCGTGCCTAAGGAGGAAGGGCGTGGCATATGACACAGAGGTTGCTATCTTTACTTACACATTAATGAGTAATTGATTTCAACATTTTTTTTTCTTGAGAAGGTTTTAATCTCTCTTCAAGTACTACGAGTCTATTTTTTTTTCTTTTTAGCTCATTTCTAGCCAAATTTTCTTTCCTTCTTCCTATTCCTCTTTCTATTGTCCTCATCCCTTTTTCTCCCCCTCTCCCCACACACATTCATCCTTTTTCCCTTCAGCTCTCAGCAAAATTGTCTACAGGCGTCCCGAGGGTTGGGAGCACGTTCCCCCTCTCTGTCCCTCTTTCCCCTCTCATCTACCCCCTCGCATTCTCCCCCTCCCCTCTTATATTTTCCCTCCACCTCTCTCATTCCTCCCTCCCTTCTCTCTCTCTCTCTCTCTCTCTCTCTCTCTCTCTCTCTCTCCTCAGCAAAATGATCCACAGGTGTCCCGAGGGTTGGTGTATGCCCACTCTCTCTTTCCCTCTCCGCCCTCTCACATCCCCCTCTCAGTCTCCCTCTTCTCTCTCTCTCTCCTATTCTCCCTCCTCCTCTCTCACCCCTCTAATTTTTCTCTATCTCTCTCTCTCTCCCCCAGCCCTCAGCACGCGCTACCCCTCTCTTTCCTTCTCTCCCCTCTCACTTCCCCCTTCTCTCTCTCCTATTCCCCCTCCCCCTCTCTCACCCCTCTAATATCTCCCTATCTCTACCCCTCTCTCTCTTTTTCTCCCCTCTCCCCTCCCTCTTCTCATTCTCCCTCGTCTCTCTCCTATCCCCCCTCTCTCACCCCTCTAATATCTCCCTATCTCTCTCTCTCTCCCCTCAGCCCTCGGCAAAATGGTCTACAAATGCCCTGAGGGTTGGGTGCACCAGAGTTCCAGCGGCCAGTGCTTTAGAATTCACTCCTACGGGAAGGTCAGGAAGTTCTCGGACGCACGATCTTACTGCCAAGGTCACGGGGGCGATTTGGCTGTTATTGAGGACGTCGATACGAAGGTCAGGTCCTAAGGTTTTTAGTATTTTATTTTATTTTATTCTATTTTTGTTGTTTTTGTTGTTTTTGTTGTTGGTGGTGTTTTTTAAGGCCTTTTTGAAATTTACTTGTCTGTTTCCGTTTTTAAGATTTTAGGTTTTTTTTCTGTATTATTTTTTCCTTCTTGCATGTAATATATATATTTTTTTGGTCTTATTTATTTGCCTGTTTCCCTTTCGATTTCTGTCCTATGCATATTTCTCTTAGGTTTTGTTATTTTGACATTTATTTAGTTATCCTTTTTATTCATTAATGTGTTAGTTCATTTCTTTTCTTCTGCATTTACGCTCTCTCTCTCTCTCTCTTTCTCTCTCTCTCTCTCTCTCTCTCTCTCTCTACTTCTTTCCTTCCTTCCTTCCTTCCTTCCCTCCCTCCCTCAATTCCCTCCCTCTCTCTCCCCCCTACCCTCTCTCCCTCTCCCTCTCTCCTCTTACCATATTCCCCCTTCCCTCCACCTCCCACCATACCTCCCTCCCACCATCTTCCACCTTCCTCCTCTTTTCACCATCTTTTTCACCATACACCCCCCCCCCTTCTACAGAACTGGCTGGCCCTTGCAATTGCCGAGACGGGCCTTGTGGGCGAACAGTCGTTCATGTGGGTAGGGGCCAAGTTAGTGGATGGCCAGTGGCAGTGGGTGGAAGACGGCCATCCTGTGGATTCTAATGTCGTGTAAGTACAGGGTGTTTTGTAAGTAGTGGGTTTGGGTGTCGTGTAAGTAGGGGGGTGTTTTGTAAGTACTGGATTTGAGTGTCGTGTAAGTAGGGGGTGTTTTGTAAGTAGTAGGTTTAGGTGTCGTGTAAGTAGGTGTTTTGTAAGTAGTGGGTTTGGGTGTTGAGGAAGTAGGGGGTGTTTTGTAAGTAGTGGGTTTGAGTGTCGTGTAAGTAGTAAGGGGGGTGTTTTGTAAGTAGTAGGTTTGGGTGTTGAGTAAGTAGGGGGTGTTTTGTAAGTAGTAGGTTTAGGTGTCGTGTAAGTAGGTGTTTTGTAAGTACTGGATTTGAGTGTCGTGTAAGTATGGGGTGTTTTGTAAGTACTGGATTTGAGTGTTGTGTAAGAGGGTGTTTTGTAAGTAGGTTTAGGTGTCGTGTAAGTAGAGGGTGTTTTGTAAGTAGTGGGTTTGGGTGTTGAGTAAGTAGGGGGTGTTTTGTAAGTAGTAGGTTTAGGTGTCGTGTAAGTAGAGGGTGTTTTGTAAGTAGTGGGTTTGGGTGTTGAGGAAGTAGGGGGTGTTTTGTAAGTAGTAGGTTTAGGTGTCGTGTAAAGGTGTCATATAAGTACCAGATTTAGTGTCATTTAAGGAAAAGGTGTCATGTAAGTACTAGATTTAGTGTCAGTTAAGGAAAAGATGTCATATAAGTACCAGATTTAGTGTCATTTAAGACAAAAGTGTCAGGTAAGTACCAGTTTTAGTGTCATTTAAGGAAAAGGTGTCAGGTAAGTACCAGATTTAGTGTCATTTAAGGAAAAACTGTCATATAAGTACCAGTTTTAGTGTCATTTAAGGAAAGGTTGTCATATAAATACCATATTTAGTGTCATTTAAGGAAAACGTGTCATATAAGTACCAGTTTTAGGTGCCATAAAGGGAAATCGGCAGTTAAGTCATGCAGCAGTGATAATGACTGATTATATTACTATTATCGCTTTTATTACCTGGGATATTACTAGCAATAATGGTGATGATGACGGTAATAAAGATGACGATATTAGTAATGATGACAAGAGACAATAGTAATGAAAATTATATTAATGATCGTATCAATAGCAAATGTGACAATGGTAATGGTAATAATGATTATGATGATAATGATAGTGATAATAATAATGGTGATAATAGTGATGATAATAATGATGATGATAATGATAATGATAGTATTAATAGTAGTAATGATAATGATAGTAATAATATTAATGATGATGATAATAGTAATAATAACGATAATGATGATAATAATAATGACAATGATAACAATACAACATTAATGACAACATTAATGTAAGTAACAATAATAATAATGATAATCTATCTCCTCCCTCTTCATTTTCTCCCTCTCCTCCTTCTTACTTTCCTCTTTCCTTCCTCCTTCCCTACTTCCCTATTCCCTCCTTCCTCCCCCTCCCCTTCCCCCTCCTTCCTTCCACCTCCCCCTTCCATCTCCCTCTTCTTTCTCCTCCTTTCTACTCCTCTTCCCCCTCCCCCTCCGTCCTCCCACCTCCTCCTCCCACCTCCCCCTTCCCTCTCCCTCCCCCTTCCCTTCCCCCTCCTTCCTCCCACCTCCTCCTCCTCCCCCTTCCATCTCCCTCCTCCTCTTCCTCCTCCTCCTCCTCCTCCTTCTTCCTCCACCTCCCTCCTCCTCTTCCTCCTCCTCCCCCTCCCCCTCCTTCCTCCCACCTCCTCCTCCCACCTCCCCCTTCCCTCTCCCTCCCCCTTCCCTTCCCCCTCCTTCCTCCCACCTCCTCCTCCTCCCCCTTCCATCTCCCTCCTCCTCTTCCTCCTCCTCCTCCTCCTCCTTCTTCCTCCACCTCCCTCCTCCTCTTCCTCCTCCTCCCCCTCCCCCTCCTTCCTCCCACCTCCTCCTCCCACCTCCCCCTTCCATCTCCCTCCTCCTCCTCCTCCTCCTCCCCCTTCCTTCTCCCTCCCCCTTCTTCCTCCCACCTCCCCCTCCCACCTCCTCCTCCTCCCTCCTCCCACCTCCCCCTTCCATCTCCCACCTACCCTTCCCCCTCCCTCCTCCCCCTCCCTCCTCCTCCTCCTTCCTTTCCTCCTCCTTCCTTCTCCCTCCTCCTCCTCCTTCCTTCCCTCCTTCGCAGACAATGGGAAGAGGAAGGGACCGGAGACTGCGCTGCCTTCACCTTAGACTCAAAGCTCAAGAAATATGACTGTGTAAATAGGATTCACTTCATCTGCCATCGGCCTATCAGTGAGTATCGGGAATGGTGATGAAGGTGATGATGATGGTGGTGATGAATGGTGAGGAGGATGAGGGTAGTGGTGATGAGGATGGTGGTGGTGATGAGGATGATGGTGATGATGTAATGATGTTGGTGATGATGGTGATGATAATGATGATGGTGATGATGTAATGGTTATGAAGTTGGTGTTGGGGATGATGGAGGTAGTGATGATTGTGATGGTGTTGATGATGATGAGAATGATGCTGATAATGGTGATAATACTGGTGGTGAAAATATTGGTGATTGTGATAATAGTGAAAATGATAATGATGATATTGTTGACGATAATGTTAATCTACTGTGATGGTAAAGATAAATACCAGTAATATTAATACCGATTTTAACAATATTACCAACAATGAAAACCGATAACTATAACAACACCATAACTAATACCAATAAAAAATAACAAGAATAAAAATAAAAATAAAAATCCCGAATTAAATCGATTTTGCTTTTTTATGCGTTAAGAATTTAGCTTCCTTATCGACCAATAATACGCTAGGATAAGGATTTAATGCTAAACAATAGACACTTATTTTTTATCAGCATTTTGTTATCTATCATAAGATATTGGATGGTATTGCTTGGTGACAATGAACTGATGACGAGAGATATCTTTTATAGTTATGAATAATTTATGTTTCATGTCGGGTATGAGATGAGAGATAGATAGATAGATAGATAGATGGATTGACCGATAGATTGATAGAAAGATGGATAGATGTGTAGGTGAATAGAAAGATGTATAAGCAGAAATATATTCAAATGGATATTTAGATAGATAAGTTAGATATTTAGATATGTAGAGAAACACTCAAGTAAATAGATAAATGGGGAGGGAGAGAGAGAGAGAGAGAGAGAGAGAGAGAGAGAGAGAGAGAGAGAGCGAGAGAGAGAGAGAGAGAGAGAGAGAGAGAGAGAGAGAGAGAGAGAGAGAGAGAGAGAGAGAGAGAGAGAGAGAGAGAAAGAGAGAGAGAAAGAGAGAGAGAGAGAGGAAGAGAGCCAGAGCGAGAGAGAGAGAAATAGAGAGAGAGAGAGAGAGAGAGAGAGAGAGAGAGAGAGAGAGAGAGAGAGAGAGAGAGAGAGAGAGAGCGAGCGAGCGAGCGAGAGAGAGAGAGAGAACGAGCGAGCGAGCGAGAGAGAGAGAGAGAGAGAGAGAGAGAGAGAGAGAGAGAGAGAGAGAGAGAGCGAGAGAGAGAGAGAGAGAGAGAGAGAGAGAGAGAGCGAGAGCGAGAGCGAAAGAGAGAGAGCAAGAGCGAGAGAGAGAGTGAGAGAGAGAGAGAGAGAGAGAGAAAGAGAGAGAGAGAGAAAGAGAAAGAGAGAGAGAGAGACCTAAAAAGAAAAAGGTACAGAGACAGATAAATAAACAGACAAGAAAAAAACAAAACAAATACCAATTTTCTTTCACACGTGTTAAAGAATCAAATTTTATCACAAACGCCGATAATATAAACTGACTTTTTTATTTTAAAGAGGGACTTCACAAATCTTTTGATAGCCAGTTTACAGAGGAACATACAGATCGATATAATTAATAATAACAACGATGATAATGATAACAATAATAATAACAACGATGATAATGATAACAATAATAATAACAACGATGATAATGATAACAATAACAATAACAACGATGATAATGATAACAATAACAATAACAACGATGATAATGATAACACTAATAATAACAGCGATGATAATGATAAAAA